GCACTATGTAACTTACAGTTGGGGGTCTACCATGTTGATGTGATGTGCACAACAAGATGATATTCCTGCGTTGGGAAAGTTTCACCGTACATTATTAGACATATGGATTTATTATTATACACATGATTTTTAGACAAAAAACATGCTTTTTTTATTTATTTTTTTTTTTTTACAGTGAATAGTGTCATTTCTCCACAGATCTGACCTGTAACTTGACCTGGTAGCGTTACCTATCTCCAAGAAGACCCAGGCTTTTCAGGAAAACTATTATGAGCTCCAGAGAGACAAAGAAGTTATCTAATGCGACTAGGTCAGGAGTTGGAGTACACTAGACGGTTTGCAAGAATCCCGCAAGTTGTAGACCTCTGCACCGGCCAATCAGAGAAGAGCTGTGAAGCCATGACATCAAACTCAAGCACCTGTCTGGGTCTCTTTTGTGGTACAGCACAACAGTAAACAAAGCGGTCGAGATGGATGTAGACGAAACCATACATTCTGTGTTGGCAACAATTCCCGAGATCGAGGATTTAAGCCGGAATGTTTGGTGAATTTTATCAAGGGGAAAGACATTATATTCATCCTATGGAATTTGGCGCATAACAAAATAACATGACCAAATGACCAAATAGCAGGGACTGGTTAAATTAAAAAGTACCGTGTACCGTCAAGCGAACAAATCCTAATGCTGCGAGGTCAGATGGTTTCCACAAAGTCACACCCAGCTGATAAATAAGGCTATGTTTTTGGTGCAGAAAAAAAAAAAAAAAAGTGTACCTTAAAACGGTTCACAAGAAACATGGTTCATGTTTATTTCGCTGTTTCCTTTGAATGTGTTGACATTAGCATGGTGAAAATTAAAAGATGATATCGCTAAACCTGGTCATATTTATTCATTAGCCTAATTAAGCCAAGGTACAAGCACTAAAGGAGATGAGAATAGCTGTCTTTGTCTGATATATACGTGTTAATACAAAGAACGAATGAGTTTATTGACAAGAGAAATCAATATGTCAATAGTAATAAGAGGAGACGCAGATAGACATGTCCTGCTCAAGGTTGTTCTCTACTAGGCTCGTGCTAAGTGGGATGGGCCAATACTTGACGTAGCCTTCATAAAATTTCCTTTTAAACAAATAAGCTAAAGAACCATTGGCCTAAACGGAAATGAGAAAAAAGTGGTTGAACATCCAATTAAAGGCCCTATACCCAATTTTTCCCGTACAATTTAGCAATATTTGTCTATGTCTGCCTCGGTACAGATATATTGTATAAGCACAACTTTAAGTCAGAATAAGTCTGTTGTGTGCTGTCCACATCTAATCATGAAGTGTTTTATTGTCCGATAATCAGGAAGGGTGCGTTGGCATACTACCTGTTTTTAGCTTTGCCATCACGTCAAAACTCCGTACTGGTTTCTGAGGGCCTGTTTACACGAGAACGCTTGTTGGTTAAAACAACAAAATATTTGATCAGAAGTGCCTTTCGTTTAGATGGTGATGACGTTTCTGGGGCTTAAAAACGCAAAAATCTGAAATCACCCTCCGCAAAACTCTGGTCAGATCTGCTCATGTCACGTACGCGTTTACGTTACGTACATCACCGCTTAGGCATGGCATACCCAATTGAATTCCACACACTTTTGCGTCACCGTATGCACGCAGATTTCCTCCTGAAAACGCTCGTCTAAACACGGAATAAAAAGCGAAGACGCAATGCTACTTTTACCTCTTCTGTTCAGACCGTCATCATATAAACATAACCTGAAAGTTGTGAAAAGTACTTATAAACTCATATAAGTGAATAATTTGTATACGGTAAGTGAGGAGTAACTTTGTGAACTAGTTCTCTTTTAACTAATTAGGAAACATTTTTCATTCATTGCACATTAGAACATTGGCTAATTAGTTGCAATAAAAAAGCTGGAGACTGCTCTGTCATCATTAAGAGCAAATATATTCTGCAAAGTTACTCAGAACATTTAATGGAATTTGTAATAAGAAGTTTTATGTAATTATGTTTTGCCTACAAATACTAAACCATTTTGTGACCATTCATGTTGCATATTAACTGAAAATGTAAATCCAGGTAGAATAAACGATAAAAGAAACACAATCACTCAAAACAGCATTTGTTTTAGCAATCATTTCAGCAGTAAAATCACCCCTCCTTCTCTATCTGTTGACAATTAGCCATACTGCTAATTTATCTTTTCAAAATGCTTTACTCCCTTCTGTTGCCAGCAGAGGTCATCCGGCAACAGAATCCAAAACTTCACATTTAAAGTATAAGTAAATTCCTGCAAAAGAACTTATTTTACATATTTTCATATACATAGTTAGAGTAATAATCCGTGAAATACTAATGTGCTGGCGAGGTATTAGACCCTGACCAATCACAGTGCAGCATTGTGGTTTGTGCGTAAGCCGGGGCCAAACAAACCAAAACAAACATGGCGATGCTGACAGACGTACTTCAGGCCATTTTAGCGAAAATACAGACTATTTTGTGAATATAAAAACGAAAGAAAGAAGCGTTTGTGGAGAGGTAAAACAAATGTGCTTTTCTCTAAACTGGATTTAACCAGTTTGATGTTTCGTCCCACTGTTTGACCAATCAACGTGAAGTATTTGCTTGAATGTTCCGCTTTTCCAGACTGATATGTGGAACTGTATTCAGAGGGCTATACATATCAATCTATCAAGAGCCAGGTTAGTGAAGTCTGATATTTTCCTTGAATCTTCTACAAAACATCCTTAACCTCTTTACACCACTAGCATACCTCATCGAACGTCAGGAAAAATAAGTCACGCGTTCACTTGTCCTCTTTTATCAACTGGATTATCTGACAGGCAGCCATGTTTTTATAAGTTATTGACCATTCAAATTCCACACCTATATCCAAGCATGACTAACAGGCTTATGGGGAATCGTCAACCCTCCGTTGCCGAAGACATCAAAGAAACAGTGAGAAAAAAAAGTATGTTTACTCAAGACAGTATCTCCAAGCTTTAAATGTCCTTACTTTTGTTTGGAAGATAACAGCAAATGGGCATACCTAACTACGCATCATAAACAGCCTCTCATCTGCACATATCCAATTCCCAGGCCTGAAAAGCACACGGTATCTTCGCTGCTATGATATGAAAGAAAGCCACATTGTAGATTCTCAGCCAGCGTGGTCAAAATACCCAAACAAACTCGGCGGACACCAGCAGAGAACACAGGCGCTCAGGCAAGTCAAGCTAACGCTCTCCCATCACAAATCACAGGCCATTACGTTTTATGTTGTGCATGTGGCTCATTATTCATGCCCGGTTAAAGTGTCTGATTATAACCTGCGTTTTAACGGTCATAAAGAAAGAGATACTGCAATTCGCTCATTTCAAACGGTGATACTGTTTGAACTTTAATGTGCGGACTTTAAAGGTACACTATGTATCTTTGTGGTTCTGGATCCGTCACCTTCTTGTTTTTATGGATCTGCCATTGCTCTGCTTGGAATGTTCCACAAGTCCACAATATGACATTAAACAACGCTACCTTACATTTATTCAATTACAGTTGGTTTTATAGTCCAAAAATACCTAAAAAAAACAAAAAATAAACGGCCATTCTGAGCGGAGCTGCCTCTCCACAGATCTGACCTGTAACTAGGTCTGGTTATTTCTCCATGAAGAAAGAAAGGTTGAGTGTCATTCTGTGAAACCTATCAAACAAAGCAAAGCAAGAAAAGCAACTCCATGAAGAAAAGCATTTGACAGATGCTTCACCAGAAAAGTTACACAATGCAACTTTAAAGCTGCAGTATGTAACTTTCTGGAGGTGGTAAAAAAGAAACATAAAACCATACTTCTGAACATTCTCCATGGAGATAGATATGTTTTATGCTAAATATGTTGCAAAATGAAAATCTCTCAGTATGATGTTATCTTGATATTAATTTTACAGTATGACATTTAATTCAATATTTTAGATAGGCTAACAGAAATGTAGATGTGCTACTTTTTGGCCTTAAGAACACCTTGACTTTTTCAAGATGTTTTTATTTAAAAAAAAAAAAAAAAAACAGAGCAGAAGCATTATGATCTATGTAGTTCCCTCAGCTGTTACTGCAACAAAACAAATCCTTTTAAGCAAAGGAACTTGAAGTTCGATATATTGTGATGGCCTACGACATTATTGTGAGACTTTTGACGACACAATATCACAATATTTTGGTTATTGTCACATCTCTATTTTATATCATGCTGTAGAATATTATAGCCAAAGGAACAACATTTCCATGGAGACTCCTGCCCAAATAAGAGTCAGGTTTGCAAGCCTGCTCACAGTGAGGACACATGTTTTGTATTTGTTTTTCAGTGCAATAAACATGGTTTATTTTAGTCTATTTTCTGGCTAAAAAGTTTTTTAATATGGCTTTAAGAAAATTGATGGCAGTTGTTAGCAGTCTGCTTATTGAGACTAAAACAGTTGTGCATTGCTTTGTGTTTTTAATTCATTCCCAGACTGTGCCAGTGGCCTCTTTGACCTTAAACCTGAAATCAGAGTCCAATCATGGTTTCAGTGACCGCAATCAGATTAAGCAGCAAATTATACAATTTTAAATGAGAGACTTTTTAACCTGAAGTTGCCATGGGTGCACTTTGCTGCAGTATCTGAATAGTATTAGGTAACTGATAAGCAGTGTCAACACAGAGGAAAGAATGCATTTTTTTTTTTTTTTTTATACCAGATGCTTTCACTGAATGAACCATGTGCCATTTATGTGGATTTAGGAAAGAATAAAGTTGATGTAAACTTTTGGGTTCTAATATTGTGTATGAACTTTTGTTTGTCTTTGATTGATAAACTGATTTGAAAAGCAAATATCAAATATTTTTTGTCATCAGCATGTTTTTATACATTCATATTGAAATGGACAAGATTTCAGTGCATGTGCATGGACCATTACTTGTTAGCCTCGCATTTGTACTCACTCTCAAATAGGCTGCACTTACCTTTATGTGACAAGCGTATCCTGGGGTAGATACTGTGAGAGGCTGAGTGCACTGTCCTCAACATAACCGTATACAGCAGCAGCACGAACCCCACCAGCGCGCCACTTCCACTCTCCATTCTCCACATCAAAAGCCTGCACAAAAGTCTTTGAAAGGCAAATCAATTCTCCTCCTCTTCACTCAGTAATAAGCATCCATATTTTTAGATCCGCACAATTAGCCCAAGATGTCTTTATATACTGTCTCTTCGCTTGTTCCCCTATAGCTGCCTGCAGAATCAAGCGCATCCACCCACCACCAACAACACCACCTAGGGACAACCCTGTTATCCTTGCTTGTTTTTCCGTTAAAGTCCAGTTGTTGCGATGCTCAATGTTGCCTCTTCCATTTAACCGATTCTGAGGTAAGAAAATCAAAAAATTCTGTTGTTGGAACTACTCATTTCAAAGAGTCCAATTTGAGTACATTAACACGTAGATTTATAAATTCTATCTTCAACCCTGGAAGATTCAGGTAGGTTGAGGCTGCCTCGTGCTTGGCGTGGTGCGTTATCCAAAAGTCAAGAGCTTTACAAAACTCATTGAATAGTCCAAAGGGAGAACCGGCAAAGAGCCCCAAGCTGGAAGACTCAACGGAATCCACCTGCCAGTCGTAGCGTGTGGAGTTGAAGACCAAATGAGAGGTAGTGAGATCAGATTTTATGGCGTTAAAGTGTCAAAATTGGCTGCTGCGTCTAGTGCGTGTTGCGGAGAGCTTGCCTAGTCTCTCACTGTGCAGTTTGCCTGTCTTTCCTCTCCCCCCTTTGGCTGTCACACACTCTTAACAGACCACCCCTTGCTACGGAGCCCTCCCTCCACCTCCTCCTTCACTCTCTCCCTCCTTCAACTCTCTCTCTCTCTCCCCCTCCTCCATAAACGTGGACTGGTGCCAAGGTTTGCAGGCTCCTCTCCTCCGCCCGTGACACTTCTTCTTCCATTTGCGTTGTGTTTGTGTGCGGATTTCACGTTATTGCTGTTTCCATGGAGTTCACTGTCAAGGTTTTTTTTTTTTTTTCTTTTTCAATTCATCTGTTTTTTTCAAGGCAATTTCCTTTTGTCGTTTTATCTGCTCCTGACAGTTGCAGAGTGAATCGCCCAGCAAGACTTCTTTTGATTTATTGCTTGCGGCGTGTTACTATTATAGAGGAATAAAGCAGAATTTATAGAATAAGCTATGGTTGTCAAAAGTATTAAACATCAGATACTAACCGAAACTAGTATAGAAATAACTAGATACTAATTTGAGCAGGTATTGATACTAAAAACACATTTACAGGAGACAAATGAAGCTTTCCTGAACAGCTTTAGAATGATCTTGAACTGTATTATAATTTGGAATATATTGGACTCGAGTCTATTCCTTAGTATCGAAATTGAGACATTTTATCGTGACAACATAGATTAAGCCACTCTTGACATACTCTGTAATTTATGGTGAAGATAAGAATGTAATAATAGTCGCATGATGTTAACCTTACCATAAAATATTCATTGAGATGTTGTAGAGGCTAACTGTATTAAGATAAGTTATATTTTATTGTCCCCTTAGGCACATTTATCCTATAGAAATGATCTGTTGAAATGCTATCTTAGAATCTCACGACAAGCCTTTGTTGAAATAATTACAGTCATATTTCATTTTTACATGTAGTCTGCAGAAAGAGCAAAGGATAACTGTCTGTACATGTCTTTTTTTTTTTTTCAATCATGCTGTCATAATGTTGTAATATACATAGTTAAAGGGTCTGTACAAGATTTTTTTTTCAATTGTTTTCACATATATTTGAGCAAAATTTCTCTTGCCCTCTTCTCTTGCAGATATATTGTATAAACAGCTCTTGAAGACAAAACATGTGCGTGGTTGCGTGCTTGTTGTTGTTACCTTTACTGTCACAACAAAAAGCTCTGGTATCTGGTGAGAGTTGTGAAAAGCACTTATGAACTCATTTCGTGAACAACAATAAATGTATAAGTCAGGAGGTGTGGCGGGCCGACTCCAGCCCCCTTTGACCGGCCCCCAGCCCCTCTGCCCCCCACCACTTGAACTGGCCCTTTGAGGCAATCTTCAAAAGTTGCCATGGCGTATTTTTTTAAATTACTTTTTGGCAAATAATAACACATCTGCATCTTGTATTTTGTAGATTTTTTTCAATTAAAACATTTTATTTATATGAAGTATTTAAAGAATTATATGACATATTTACATTTGTCACCAAATTTGCCGCAGAATGTTCATCACCTGACAAGCTCTAGATCAAACAGTGACAGTCAATGCATGAGCAGAGTTCTGTAGTGCAGTTAAACCCTCACGCTCTCCTCGGGGTCACATAGACCCGAAGAATTTTTTTTTTCCCTTCTTGCTCTCTTGGGGCGGGTCAATCAGACCCCAAAATGTATTTTCAAATAAATTCTTCGCCAGGCAAGAAAATATTTTTTTGGATCTGATTGACCTGCTCCAAGAGAGTGGGAAGGAAAAAAAAAATCTTCAGGTCAATGTGACCCTGAGGAGAGGACAGCAAAATGGCGAGTGTTAAAGTAGGAAAAGTTGACAGAGAGTGCCAAGTTTTCAAAAGAACAGTGGACAACCGATTATTTTTTTGTCCAGTGTAAGGACCATGCAGTTTGTCTGACATGTAAAGAAAGTGTGGTGGTTTACACAGGATATAATCTGCGTCGTCAGGGTCATATATTTATTTCTGTTATACGGCCGACCCGACCCCGGTCTCCATCACAGTCAGGAGCGATAATGTGGCCCCCGGAGAAAAACGTTTGGTGACCCCTAGTATAAGGTAAGTAAAAAATAACTTTGAATCACTGCAAACTGAACTTTTTTTTTTTTTTTTTTTTTTTTTTTTACATTTTTGAAGTCCAAGTACATAAACTACCATATCATTGGAAAATAAGCCAAAGGGACAGCCAACAGAAAAAAAAAAAAAAAAAAAAAAAAAATAAAATGGGTCAAAATAGGCCATTTTCAGAATCCATTATTTCTGGATGGGCAAAGTGTGACCAAACTTTTCTGGTCTGGTGGTCTGGTGGAGGGGTCAGTCACCAGCTTCTCTCCATGGAGATGTTGCCTGGAATGTTCCACAGTATAGCATTAAACTTATTTATCTTTACGGAGAGAGCAATTGATGCCTTAGGGCCAAGTTATGTGTCAGATCTGTGGAGAGGCAAGTTAAAAACAATAAGAATGCCAAAAAAAAAAACATTCCAGAGAAAGCAACAACATCGCCATGGAGACAAGCAAATGGCGGACCCTCAGCAGAAAAGTTACACAGTGCACCTTTAAGATCACAACAGCAATATAAAGTAGATGTATGTGTGAAACCTGAGTTAGAATTCACAAGACATTCTAAACCAGGTGCCTCAGATTTATATTCTGGATCAAGTGACAGGACAAGGTAACAAATGGAAGACAAGAACCAGACCAGGAGAAGGAAATGAGGTTGCGAGGTCACACACTGCACCAGGTAATACTGTGGAACCTTCAGGGTGACATATATGAGAAACATTGGGAAAGAACCACCATGACGGCAGCCAACGTAGCCGGATACTCATTGGGAAATGGAAGCCTCAGGCCAGGAAGAGCAAAGTGGAGGAGGCTAATAGACAACCCAAGCTCCAGCGAAGCTTTAAGAGATTAAGCAAAGTAAATTATGGATTTGCGGATTGAGGTGAGGTCACAGAAACTTCAAATAAATCTTGAAGATGAATGGCCTTTAAATCTGTGCAGAGGAAGAGGAAACAATGTCACTGTGAAGTTGTTCATTAGTAAGAAACCATGTGAAACGTGTAGATGGACAGGTATGTTAAAGCGGATATATTATGCAACGTCAACCTTTTGTTCCCTGTCTTACTCAAAGTTCTGACTGATTCATGCAAGTTTGAGTAATTCTGTATTTTTTTGCATTTGAGTTGAGTTCTCAGAAATCTATCTGCACCCATATCCATGTACTTACTTGCAATTATTTGAGAAATGACATGCAGTTATAAAAATGTTTAGTATCATGCATCAGAAATAAAAATGAATAGATGAAATTCTGTTCCCTATGAAATACCACCACGAAAAGGCAAGGCTTCTCAGTTTTAATTGAACAGAAAGTTAATGGACCTGTTTCTATTATCACACTGTTTTAGATTCAAAATCCATTTCACAAAGCACAAAAATGTTAAATGCTGATCTGCTTATGCTGAAATTTGATCTAAAAAAGTACCAGAAGAAAGCAAATGTATTTTTAAAACATTCAGTCTAGATAGAAGCCAATGAAAGAGTTAACTAGCATTACTCATCCACTTCCCAAAGTTGTTGGGGCTGAGGCTTTACTGAAACCACAGCTGTCCTTGGTTAGACTGGCTCGAGCTGGAATCGAACTGCCAACCGGATCTACCGCCGGAGCCACTTTAGCAGAAGTTTGTTTTATGGTGGCAGTGTGTTTAATCATAATATTAATATCATATAACATTGTTCCTTCATTCAAAACTAAGGCCTATTTCCTGATTTTGAAACTGATTCCGTTATGAGTCCTTTATCAACAATAAAAAAGAAAATAAAATGGGCTGCTTCCTACAGAGAAATGCTCTAGAGGCTTGTCAGTTCCACAGTTTTGCGCAGGAAGTCACTGGATCTGTTTCTATTATTAAGCAATTTTTGGCCCACTATTGCGGTTAACCATTGACAATAATAATGAAATAACAATCTACAAATGTTTTAGTTTTAAAGCACAATAGGTCTTCATGTCCTAACAGATTTTCTTTAAAATCATAAAAAAACCAAACATCAGAAAACAAAAGCTACTTATTCCATATATTAGTGATATGATGTTCATGAACGAGCTGGCTCTTTTGAACTTTTCTTTTTTTTTTTTTTTTTTTTATGTGAATGGTTGGAATTGGATCAAATTTTTAAACAATTTTTTTTCTTTTATGTATTTTTTATACTGATTAACCCTGAACCAACACAAGAACAGCTTGTTGGACTAAAACCATATTTGGCATCTTAATAACAGTTAGTTTTTACTTTGTCATTATGATTATACTGTTTTATTTAGATCATGCATAATTTTAGACACTTCCACTCTTAGTTTGAACCATTTTAATCAAATCTTAGCCTTGGTCATATCTCTCTGTGATTAGTTTGTAGATAAAATGAGTTCTCACACTGGCTTCTGTCATGTAAATAAATTAAC